CATAATTGTGCGGGTGCCCCAACTCTCAGAGGTAACAGTACAAGCTGTTTGGTCATTGACGAGTAGTAGAAGATATAGCACGTTAAGATGCGGGCCCTGAGCGGCGTCGGACGAATGAACAACCCTCCTGTTACCAGCTGTTATTCGGTGTTTACTATTCGTTCGCTTTGGCTATTTCCTGTTCACAATATACTGCAATAACAATAATGGTGTTTCCGATCTGGATTATGGTGTTTTTATCGGTGCAAGATTGAACATATGTCGATACCGTTTGTCGATTGTTACCTGTTGATCCGATACAATACTCTGAGAACCATGTTTACTATCGAAATACTTTGTTCTTCCTTTGCTACTGAACTGTTGCCTTTAACCTGTGTAGACCTTCTTAGGCACCAACTGACGACTACAGACCGACCTCGAACTGACGTTCTTCAAAGCAAGAGGGGAGTAATTGCATGAAATTGTTAACAACTAGTCGGAGATAACCCTCACAAAAACAGATCGTCTAACAAAGAAGTACTTTCGATTAAGCCGTAAACAGACGTATACAGAGACAAGAAACGCAAACAGTTTACGTAACACGATAAACATCCAAGAAAAACGCAGGCTCTATTTGAGTGCCATTGTGTGTTCTTGTCTGTTTGTATACGTACGCAAGAGTTGCTTATGCAATAAAAACCGATCTCATTAATAATACTTAAATGACATCATCGACTTTCATTCATTCGGTGTCCTCTTGTGTTCGCACTTCGTCGGTCTCGACAAATCGTTGCTAAACTTAACCAGTAAGTTTATAATCTAATTAAGTTTATAATCTAATTATAGTATCGTAATTATATCAACATACAGCAGTGTATAATAGATTAAAAAAAAAAGTAATAATCGTACAACGTTACAACATAGTACAGAGAGCTAAATCAGTTATTTCTGTGCGTTCAGATATCGATCAGCGACTCGGTAGTTGAGGTGGCGGCGATATCCGGATGGACGAGCAATGAATGGGTCACTCTTATACAGAAGAGCGTCCAACAGGTGTATGAACAATCGTTAATGTTAACTGGGCATCGCTCAACTCTTTGCCTATACTGTCTAAAGAGCTGCTTCTAACTGTTCTGCATTCTTTTTTGCTATCGCCATTACGCCATGCGGACGACTATCATTGTCTACGCCTCACGTGTTGCAGCTGTCGTATATTCACCTGCCGATCACGTCGCGTCGGTCTATTTTAGTTTTATATGTTACCCATCAAAAAAGTCGACTGTTTGTCTTTAATTCGTTTTAATTTTCGTTTTACTTTCTTTGCACACTTTTCCCTATTCGAAGTTTTCGTATCTTGTTCGACAGACTTCGTTGGCCTTGCTGTCGTCTGATTACCAATACGGTAAACTTTCCTGAATGTAGCGATCGGCTCAGAGACGTATTCTGTTTCTTAATGTTTTCGTTCCTTCACTTGTTTCATGTACCAATCATAACAGTCATCGTCAGCGTCATCATGTTCAACCTCACTCTTCTAGTTATATGTATCATACATCATTTATCGTTATATATGCGTGTATACTAAACGACCTCAATGCGACGAGCTCGCACTTCTTCATTTGCGGTGGTGATGACAATGGCGGCGCTAACTGCAATCAGACCTTATCATGCCATTATATGTCTCAATGCTACCACTTCATTCCGCGGGTGTTATTACAAGGTATTTTGCTCGATGTGTAAGTGTCAGTGCCTGTGTGTACATGTCTTCCACTAATTACCTTTCCTGCTAATAAATCCACCCCCGCAAGGCTTATCTCGCAGGGTTCCTTCCAACTTCGATTATTGTCACGTTTGACGTCGGCTGTTTATTACATACTCTCGTCGTTTTCATTACTAATATCGTTATCAGTATAATCAGCCCCTGGTTAGTCATTTATCAATATTATACGCAGCATTTTCATTCGCCATCATTGATGTCACTATTTTATGGCCAATGGTTTTTCATCCTCCTTTTTAACCCCCAACTATTCATTGTGGCTATTTATTTTCCGAACAATAGGCGTCCGGTGGCGTATCCATTTTGTCCTATGCAGTGATAATGTCTATCTATCGTATACCCCAACGGAGTTGCGTTGTTTTCCCTGAGTTTGAAGCGTTTTGTCTAATACTTGATGTGAGCAAAGGTGGCGACTGAACCTGGATCTAACTACCTAACAGCCCGGCTGACCTGAAGATTCCTGAAGCCATCTTGAATTTAGCCTGCCTTTTGCACACATCATTTGTACACACAGTACTAAAAAACATACAGTGCGTGTTTTTGATAGTAGTACGGCTCGACAATTATAGTCGTTTTCGAAAACGCTGCGTTGTGGCTTTCAAGGCGTTACACATTTGGAAGAGAGGACAGATTACGCGCTTCTATTCCCAGCGTCCCCCTACTAAAATAACAGCCAATAGTCAGTCTAGTACCCTTGCAAGTCAAACGGGGCAGTTCCACCCCCTTAACAGCAATGTGTGGACGCGTCCGTTAACAGCGACCGTTCTGCACGAGCCCTAAACAAACGCCGTCCATTCGTTCGTACTATAGGGCACGATTGTTTTACCACAACAATTATATATTGCAGCCCTTCTACCATTACAATAGTGATTAGGATTACTGATACAGTCATACTGTTACTGCTACCAATATTTTCATTCAAGTAATCATTACATAAACTAAAAGAACAGCAAAAAAAACCTCGTTAACGTTCGAATCTGTCCCGGCGGCCCTGTGAAACCGTGTATTATACTGAAGACGCGCGCGTGCACCTCAAATACCCCCTAGGCCATAAAATCAGGTTACATTACTATGCCAATCAAATTTACCCCAGCCGCGCTGCATCACCCGCCAACGACAACGGAAAATCGGCAATCTCACATAATTGTCGTATATTCAGTATCTGTGCTCGCCGCAACGAGCAACATCAGTAACAACAGATGCATCGGCTTTACTTTCCATTCTAGTCCGCCATTTCCGCTTGGCAATGTTTTGTGATCTACAATAAATATTAACAGTTTTAATAGTATAGGTATAATACTATTACGGTACAATCATGTTTGCTATGTCGTCATCTGAAATTTGAAATGCGCTCGTAGGAATATCTAGGAAGAACAAATGCTTGATTGCCACAGTTATTCGGTCATATATCGATGAACAACGTTCGAATTACGGAACTACCCATTCGCTCATAAGCTTCAAATTCAGAGTCGAAATCTCTACGACCGCTACTAGCTTGGACAAGCTGGTATTTCCCTGGTCAGATTTACCAACGATTCAACAAATCCGTAAAGACTTTACTACCTACGTCATCTATCATCGCTCAGTGACTGAGTCTATTCGGATCAACTATCCTACCTTTTACCAATACCTTCCAGACGGCACCCTATTCGAACCCACGGTTCCTAAATAGAACTTCCGACCGGCTATTGCCGCCGCTGCTTCGGTAAAGCCTTTCTGCATTTTCGCCGATGTGCCAAAGGCGCAACGGAATTATGAATTTTTTTACCTACAGCCAGGCTTCTCGTCGTTCAGCGCTAGAAGATTAGTTGACGCTGTTGCTGTTAATATTCATTCACGATTCGGCATTATAACGAGACTGTGTTTGGGATGGAGCGTTGGCGTCAAGTGTGACCAACCTCGCGGCGGACACAGGACCACGTATCACATGAATCACCACTGGAATGTGGTTGTTGTTGTCTGTCGTCGTCGTTGTCGTTATTGCTGTCCTATTTTATTCTTTTTCGGGATATTTATGATGTCGGTGTTTATTATTACTACCACTGTTATAGGGCTCGTCGAACAGAACGAGCTCTGTTCGCAAGCCTGCACACGGACGAGTTAACCTCGACTCAGCCTTAAGCAATACTCCTCAAATTTCCTTCCCGAATTCTCTCATCGTTTCCTTTAGCGCCTTGTGTTTGTGTTAATAGAAGAAGAAACAAAAACAAATGTAAAAAGTGTCGTCTTTTGAGCGTTGCAGCGACGTAACGAATCCACTATTACAGCACACACAATCGTGTTATTTGTGTGTCTTTATAAGTGTAACCCGTGGACTGCTACAACAAAGTTGATATGGTAGTTGTCTATAAAAAGTTTAAGTTGGTAACTTAGGATTCTTGAACGAAGAGCGCAAATCATTGTCGCAAGTACCGTTCAGTCATGACATATTCATACATGTGTTTATATTGTAAAAGATATCTATTTTCCACTATATATATATATATATATATATATATATATATATATATATGAAATACAACAGACAATCCATATTCATTTTATCACATCACCACATACATATGATTGATCGATCGATCGATCGATCGAATAATAAAGCCGGTAGTGATAGGGTAGCTGCTCGGAAACCTGTGTACGAATCGCTGCTGAAAAGAAACAAGGGATACTGTTGTTAAGTACAGGACACACATCATGAAAATTATGATACGCTTTTCCCAGCTTCTGGATCTGTTTATAGGTATACGGCTTATTTGCCATAAATACATGGCTTGCTCAGGCTGACTCAAAGGCGGTTGACGTTATTTTGTTTTTTGTCGCTCTTGCGGGCCCTTTTGTTATATTTCTTTCGATTTGTTGTTATCGTTAAAAATATGTTAATGTTATCTTGTCACATTATTCCATACACGCTTGCACCCACATGTGATCATTCCAAGTATCAATGTACCTGCTCAACTAACAATTAGGATAGTGGTTCAGCAATAGTAATAATCGATAAATGTCACCATAATTGAATAAAACGGAGATTTTGTCTGCGCTTGTGTGACGGGGAGCGCAGTTCGAGGCGCCGCCTTTTACCTCGTGGCTCTTTCCTCCATTTTAACATCGTCATCATCAATATAATT